GCATCTATAAGATAGAATTGAAAAATTACCCTCCAGATACTGATAATATACAATATGGCAAACAGAACTGCAGAATGTCTTTTTACCAGTATTTAAAACAAACCTATGGTAAGTATTGTTTATTTTATATGCTATTAGATAACTTGAAATCAATGGACATTTACCCTGATCATGCAGGATCACAACTGCAGTATTCATCAGGAAATGTTTTAGAAGTAGTTTAATACTTTCTTCCTGTAGGGAATGGATATTTATAATAGAAATTCTCATAAAATACATTTTTATGTCCACCACAACATATTTACTTTAGTTGATGTGGGAATACAAAAATACTCTACCGAGTGTAAAAGAGCTGAAGACAACAGACAGCCTGAACAACAGATGGCACTTTCAGAGGGCACTAGCGTGACAGTATTTGAACTCCATGGAGTTTCCATAAAAGTAGAAGCATGCCCTAGGACTTATAGCTATAAATAAATGAATTTATTTACTAATTAATTAATACCCCTGCAGCCATAACCAAGCTGGATGGGAGTCATGAAGCTGTACTACAGGGCAGCCACCTGAAGCTCATGAGATCATCTTCTCCTCAAGGCTTATGGCATTGAGTTCAGAGTTTGATTCCAGTTTTAAATAATTTGTGGCTGCCTCCCTTGGACCCAGGGACCACTATCTCCATTCTACCCCTGGAGTCCCCCCTGTACACATTTTTAACCACAGAAGAAGCCTACACACATATATGGAGGTCACTGTTAACCAAAATAACAGATTCTTGTGTTTGGTCTCTTTGGTCCTGTAACCAACCAACTGTATGTATTACCTAGGATAAATACCTTGAAATGGTTTGGTTTACATCCTGAAAGACATTTTAAGGATTGGAAAAAAATCACCTGTGGTTGTGTGTGACTCCAAACAACTGATTTCTCTCTCCAGAGAGCAATTTTTCCATACAAGTTTCAATACTTTTTGAGATTATAAACTGCAAGACAGCAGCCACAGCAAGGAAGATGAATTACAAAGACAGACTACTGTAATTTGGCATCAATAACATAAGGCCYAAAAAAATAACAGAGTAAGTGCATTGAAAGTTCAGAACCACAGGCAAAACAAAGAGTTTGTAGCAAACAAAATTCTAGAAACTGCTACAACTATAAAAAATCTTTGGGAAAAGCTTCATAGCCACCAAGTATGAGCCCTGACATGCAATGTCCAAGCAGTCAAGCCAGTATTAATCAATTAAAACAACAAAAAGCATGAAAATGCAGAAGGAGAACCAGAGATTTGGAATGTCATTGCATAGCACTGACCCACACGGTAAGTCTTGAGTTTCTTGTTTGCCATCTGGCACAAAAAGACCAGACAGCAGTTGGTTCACTCAGACAGTACTCCAGCAACAAAAAAAAACCCTTCCAGAGAGCTGCCACGGAGCACTCCAGCAGCAGATTAGCTATTGTTAGGAGACTGTGCGTATTTGAAGGATATTTCAGGCAATAGAAACTGCAGTGGGAGAGGATAATGCTTCATCCGACAGCCCAAACACCACAGATGTMTTTTAACCATACTGCTACATTTTCTGAAGTTACTTTTTGCTAAGAGTTTGGAGGCAATTCTTCCACACGAGCCTGTTCCCGAGCAATTCATTACTCAGATTTATTTCCCTAAAATAAATAGCAGATTACAACTGGATAAGGAGGCCCTAGCCCCACAGGTACCCAGCGTTCCTGRGGGAGCACATGCTGAGCACAAGCCGGGCTATCACATACCCAGAGCTCTATTCCTTCATTTCCCATCACCACCTCACCAAAGGTTCATTCACAAGCATTTCTTCTCATTTTATTTAATTAAAAAAGTAAGTAACTTACAGTGACCTGTTTTCTCATTACCTAAATCCACCTTTTCCTTTGTTCTCTCTTGCACCTTTCACTCCCCTCTGAGCTCAGGTTTTCCCTAGGCCTTCTCATGAGGAAAAGAACTGTGGCCTTCCCCATCCTTCTCCTACTTTGTACCTRTACCCCTCACACACTTCTCTCCCCCTCCCAAATAACCTCATCTCAAAGCCCTGCAYTCAGGAGTCACTGTCATTCCATCTTTTCTACCAAAAAGTAACTCTGATGTTCTCCGCTGAGAGGCTTTTACAGAGGGCCAAAGCTTTGTGCTCCATGTTCCTACCAGCTGACCAAAGGTTTGTAGCTCTTTCTTCCTGCTACATTTCGGGAGTTTTCAATCAAAAACTTCATAAAGCTTTAAAGGACTAATTCTGTGTGAAACAAAACGCAGGCAGAGGACAAACATGTAAGGATCACCTGCAGAGACAAACCATCAGGGGAAAAAAAATCTCTCAGTGACCTCTCCTGGAGAGTAGGGCAGAAAAAAATTCATTTCAGGGGAGTATCAAGTTACTCCAGAATGRGACAGTAACCAAAAGGTCCAAGGAACTTTCTCCCCTGAAATGTACTCAGCTCGAGGCTTGAAGATACACCACATAAAATTATCTCAAAACCACAACTTCATCATCTGACTTGATCCAGCACTTTTCTATTTGCTGTGAAATTCTACTGTAGCACAGTCATCTTTATTTCTAGACAGTGTGGTGGCACAACTCTGACGGAGAATCAAAACAAATGCAAGTTTTGCACAGAAGCAATTCTATGCTGTACAAGGGGAGGCTGTCTTCAGGTTCTCCTTGGTTTATGAGGAAGCAGTGATTTTAGAAAGCTTGGAGCACAGATGAAGAGACAATGAATGCTTTATAACCAAATAGGAAGAAATGTCTTGAGTCAGAGCAGCCTCAAAATTTCTGATTTTTAGCTTAACAGATTGCTGCTTCTCCTAGTCTTGTTCTAGGGTGGAAGACACCAAGAGCCACCACACTAAAAAGGCTGTATTCTTACTGGAATTTCTAAAGATTTATTCTAACTTACACTAATAAATATTTTTGTCCTTCTGAGTCTGAAAAGCCTGTTTGCAGTGAAAGTGACCAAGCCTCTGAAACAATGGAACATCTGATTTTCCCACAGGAAYGGACTTAAATGTACTTCAGCACCTCAGAACTATTAGTCTGAGCTACCAGTGCCCTGTATCACAACCCAACGGTATCTTTACCTCCTCTAAATTAAAGAAACAGCCCAAACAGAAATAGAATTCTTGATACCTGTATCTATACCATTCATTTTAGAGGGAAGGATTTAATTTTGCTGCCCAGAGAGCCAACATCAAGAACTCTTCCTTCTCAACTCAGCAAAAACTTTGCCAGTGCAAAGTGTTAAACTGAGGGCTCTCGTGGCAGTCCCACAGCCAACACTGCCTTTGTTGTCTCCCCTCACACATTTTCTACCTCATTGAAGAGCAGGGTTGAGTTAAATTTTTTCCCAGAGTACATTTTTTTCCAGAGTATGAGCACTTCAAAGCCCATACAGTAATTTTTTATTTGAATTTGAAGTTAGCTCCAGTCTTCCCCAAAATATTTTGGTCGCTAGTAATTTTATCAGTAAATCATCAGGAGTATTGAGAATACATGGCTGCTCTTTTTTGCAAAGGGAAAAAATATTTAAAAAAATAACATGCTGTTGAAGCAGAATCCATTATGAACTGCAAGATAATACACAGTCCAAAAGTTACATCAGTGTATTCTCAGYCCTGCCAAATGCATCTTTACAGAAATTGTTTAGTGGGAAGAAGGTGATGCATCATGCCATTATTTGAAATGTACCAAATATTTCTGCAGTAGGTCTTGGATTTGCAACTGTAACAGTGAAATATTACACACATATTGCCATCTCATGGACACTACTAATACTTGTTTAAAATTCCAAGAACACAATCCCTAGCAGAAAAATATGCAGAATCCATAGCAAATAAAATTGTAAAGATTTACAACGTGAAAGCAGGAACTTCACGTTTGAAACAGTCCAAGAATCTGCCTCAGATTCTCTCGTAGTAGTTACTATTTTTATGACTTGGCTCAGACTTGCTTTAATCTCTTTATTTAGGGAGAAATTGCAAGCTTGCCAACTCTAGCAAATGTTAAGTACTTCAGTAAATTCCCCATCAATATAGGTCGTGCATTCGAGGGAAYAAGAATGTGGTGAGTAAGTTCTGCTCCATCTCCTGCAAGGGGGATTTTGGAACAAGGCGCTGATGGCAGAGAGAGATAAACAATGTGGCTAAGCCCCTCTTTCAGCTCCATCCTCCTCCCCAGACATCTGTCCACGCTGTGTTGTGCCGTGATTGAGATGTTACGTGATGCAGCTCACCCAGGCTGCCGTTATCCCACATCCCCTTCATCCGAGCAGGCAGCAGAGCACATGCCATTGCCAAGGCTACTGCGTCGTCACTCTTCCATTAAAGTTCACTAACAGCACGATGCGAGTCCGAGCAAGTCAGCAAAACCAAAGGAARCCCAATAGATGGGAAGATATCTAAGCATGGAGGATGAATTCAGAAGCAGTCCGAATAGCCTGTGCAGACTTTCCGGAGCATCTAAGCCAAAYTGCCCAAAACCGCTAAGTCCTGTCACCCCCTGAGTTTTGCTTTTAAAAAGAACTTGGCAGCCAGCAAACCAAACCGCGGATCATTTCTCAGGCTGTGCTCGAGCAAACTCATCTCTCTACCTTAACCTCTCGGGCAAGCAAACAGGCAAGTTTCGTGTCCCCCCTGCAGCTCCCCGGGCGGGACCCGCGGCTGTCCCCGCACCGGGACACAGGGCAGGCGGTCACCGGGGAGCTCCGCGCCGGGGATGCGCTCAGCCGAGCGGCGGCCGCCTGTGCCCGACCCCCCGGGCCGCGGAGCTCCGGAGCCGCGGCGCTGCGGCTCCCGGCACACGAGGGTCCCCAGCCGGCCCTCCGCCCGCAGCCACCGCGGGCAGCTCTGCGGGGACCCGCCGAGGGCACCGCCTCCCCGCCGCGGCACAGGAGGGGCGGGCGGCCCCCGGCTCCGCCGCCCGGAGCCGCCGCCGCGAGGAGGAGAAGGAGGAAAGGGGAGGCGAGGGAAGAAGCCATTACCAGAGTTTTGTTGCCGTTCTTGCTSAGGGGGCCGCGGAAAACTCCCTTGATGTTGCGAAAGTGCCCGTTGCTGAGGTGCGCGGAGCTGATGACAATGTAGTAGCACTCCATGGGGCCGGGGCCGCCTCCTCAGGCCGGGCTCGGCGGGGCTGGGCGGGGAGGGCCGGGGCCGGCGGCGCCGGGG